GGAGAATTGGACATACAGATAAGTGAGGCATATAGAACTCCACCTAGCCACGATCAAAAAAATAATCTACACCTAGACATATAATAGTCAAGATCCCAGAAAACCCAACAGAAGAAAAAAATCCTACAGGAAGTTAGAGAAAAGAAACAAATCACCTATAAAGGAAAGCCCATCAGAATCATGGCAGACTTCTCAACACAAACCTTCAACTCAAGGAGAGTCTGAAGTGAACTATTTCGAGCCCTAAAAGAAAATAACTTCCAACCTAGACTGTTGTATCCTGCAAAATTATCTTTCAAAATTGATGGGGAAATTAGATACTTCCATGACAAAGAACACCTGAAAAATCTCAGGAACACCAAACCAGCACTCCAAACAATTCTAAGCAATATCTGAGAAAAAGGCAACAAAGATCACAACTACATGAGGCTCAAAAGAGGGAAGCCACCAGACAAGATAAGAAACTAAAGGGAAAGGGGGGGAAAGAAATAAGAGCCAACAACAGTAAAACATCATAAGGATGACTCAATATCTATCAATTATAACTACCAATGTTAATGGCCTGAATTCACCAATCAAAAGAGGTAGACTGACAGAATGGATTAAGAAGCAAAATCCAACAATATGCTGTATACAAGAAACACACCTAACTCAAAAAGAAATTCATAGACTGAAAGTAAAAGGATGGAAAACAGCTCTCCATGCCACAGGAACCCAGGAAAAAGCAGGGGTGGCAATCTTATTTGCAGACAAAGTAGATTTCAAACCAAAACTAATTGAGAGAGACAAAGATGGTCACTACATCCTTGTGAAGGGAACAATCCAAGAGGAAGAGATGGCAATCCTAAATACATATGCACCAAATACAAATGCCCCCAACTATACAAAACACATATTAATGGACATGAAAAACCAAATAAGCAGTAACACAGTTGTAGTGGGGGATCTCAATACCCCACTATCACAAATAGACAGATCATCTAGACAAGAAATTAACAATGAAATTCAAGAACTGAACCAAGCTATTGAACAAATGGACTTAATAGATATTTACAGAGTGTTCCACTGCACACAATCAGAATACACATTCTTTTCAGCTGCACACTGGTCATTCTCCAAAATAGACCACATGCTAGCTCATAGGACATGTCTAAGTCAGTGTAAAAGAATTGAAATTACCCCCTGCATATTATTAGACCATACTGCAATAAAATTGGAGATAAATAACATGAGAAACTGCAAAACTCCCACAAACACCCAGTTATTGAATAACACCCTCCAGAACAACCACTGGGTCATAGAGGAAATTAAAGAAGAAATTAGACAGTTTCTACAAGTAAATGATAATGCCAGTACAACATACAGGAATCTATGGGACACAATGAAAGCAGTTCTGTGCCAGAAATTCATAGCAGTGAATGTCCATATTAGGAAAACAGAGAGAACTCAGATAAATAACCTAATGCAGAAATCAAGCTCCTAGAAAAAGAAGAGAACCCAAAGCTGGCGCAAGAGATGAAATTATAAAGATCTGAGCAGAAATCA